AGCGAATTGCATCCCAAAGGAGGGTATAATACGCAGCAGGTTGTCCAGGGTCCGCTGAGCGGCATCCTGTGATTCAAAAATAAGAACGATGTCGTCGGCATAATCTAAATCAAGAACTGTGTCTCCAGAAGAAATCCGGACACCCGAGAACGGCGAATCTTTCCTGCACTCCTCCATGATTGTATCTATTACAAAGTTGAAGAGGAACGGGGAGAGTGGGCATCCTTGCCTCACTCCGCTCATGGTTGTAAAACTAGGCGCCAGCTCTTTGTACACCCTCACTTGGGCCACCGTTTGTCCATACAGGGCCCGTATAATATTCACGTATTTGCATGGCATTCCTTTTTGCAGTAGTGTCGCAAAAGGGGCCTGTCCATCTACCGAGTCAAATGCTCCCCTGAAGTCCAAGAATACGGCGATGGTCGGTTGTCTGTACACATGTCTCTGCTGTAGGATCTGTCGAAGGGTGAAGATGTGGTCAATGCAGCCCCTACCGGGTCTGAATCCTGCTTGCTCCTCTCTTATACCCTTTTCTCTATCTGGGGTGAGTCGGCACAGTAAAAGAGCGGCTAACAGCCTGCTTTTAACTGGTGTAAGGCTAATGCCCCAGTGGTTGGCACAATCACCACGCGTGCCTTTCTTGTACACTGGGATGATAATCGAGTCACCCCATGCTTCCACAACACTTTCCTCCTCCCAGATTACCTTGAACAAGCGCACGAGTTCTGGGGTTAAGACGCCCAGACCGTCTTTGAAAAGAGCTGGGGATACCTCGTCGGGTCCGGCAGCCTTGAAGCTCTTCATAGAGTTGATGCAAATAATCATAGTTGATGCTAATCATAAATCATAGTTGATGCTAATAATCATAGTTTTTTTAAGTAACAGTTCTTGTACTAGGTCGAGTAATAATAAATTTACTAATACACAAGCTCTTCTGTCATCTGAACAGTTTACTGTTACATAACTCCTGGATTACCATACTCACTAACCCTAAATATTCTTACCTTATGTTTTCTCATATGAGAATATTGCTGTAGGTTTACAACAGGCATAATACAAAGATCACAAACATAGTCAAAAGAACCTATAAAAAAATCCCAGGTTTGTGGCTTGTTCCTAAGTTTTGTAAACT